GATATAGAAAAAAATCAATATTGTTTTCTATTATATTTTGGCAATTTTTTTATCGCCCAGAAAATGAACTCCCTGCCATAAACTACCTGGTTTATCAGAGAATGGAGAGGGAGGGGTGACAGAGAAAGAGAGAGACAGAGATAGAGGACAGAAACACAGAGGGACAGAGAGGGACAAAGAGAGACAGGATCAGTAAGACAAAGGGACAGAGAGGACAGAAGTCTGGAGAGGAACAGAAGTGAGAAGAGAAAAGGAAAGCTTTCTTAGGAAATGAATACTAAAATATCATTTTTCTCTGAGTAGTAATTTTCTCAAAATAGTAATATTTTAAACCAGGGAAATTTTAGGCTCATTCTTCTATGTCATTATGAGTTACCTGTTGTCAAAATTAGGGTTTTGGAGTGGACATGACCACTTGTTTCTCCTGATGTTGAGACCCCTCTGGACTAAGCCTGAGCGAACAATGCCCTTCCCCCAAAATTCATGTCCACTCGGAGCCTTAAAAGTGACCTTTCTTAGAAACAAGGTCTTCATAGTTGCACTGGTGTTAAGAGGAAGGCTACTTGACTTGGGCAGAAACTGTATCTAATGACCAGAGTCCTAGGAAGGGGCAGATAGAGGCACAGACAGGAGGCCATGGAAGACAGAGCTGCAGGTTGGAATGATGCACTCACAAACCAGGAAATCCCAAGACGTGCCATGGCCTCCAGGAGCTGGGGTGGCTAAGAAGGACCCTTCCCTCGAGCCTTCCCAGACAGCCCACCCTGCCAACTCTCTGATGCTGACCTCTGGCTTCTAGAACTGTGAAAGAATACAGTTCTGTCTTGTAAAGTAGGCTAAGTTTGTGTTAATTTGTTGTCAGAGCCTTAGGAAGTGAACAGCAGGTTCTGAACAGCCAAAGAGCCCAGCATGAAGTAGGTCCTGGACTGGGTCAGTGATGCTGCCAGGTGAAGCAGCTCCTGGTGGCCAAAGGTAATTGACACCAAGACCTTAGGGAGCACAGAACCAGGAAGGAAGAGATGGTGGAAGAGGAGGAGGAGGAGGAAAAGAGGAGGGGTAGAAGAGGAGGCAGAAACTAATATTTTAATAATGTCAATAATAGTAATAGCCACTCTCTTAAATGCCACAGAGAGTACATTATCTAAATTCCTTACAGCATTCCCCAGTGGTGTCTCTATTATATACATCAGGACAATGAGATCAAGGTAGCCAAGGGCTTCCCTGTGCTCACACAGCTTGTAAGGACCAAATCCCAAGCCCACCCCAGCACTAACCACTCCCCGGCACTTCTCAGAGAGCATGGCTTCCTGGATTCCCAGTGTGAACACTTTGGGTCATGAACATTGTTAAAAGCATTACTTCTAGGTGAATTTAGATGTCCACTTAATGAACTTGGTCATGGGCATCCTGCCTTTAACTGGGATGTGTGTCTGGATAGTCAGGAAAGATACAGGACTCCAGGGCTCCGTGCTTCCTTTCAAGTAGCAAAAAGTTGAAGTCACCACTTCTTCAGCCGAACATAGGAACTTTCCATTTAAGAAGTGATGATGGAATCAATAGTCTTTAACAAACAAACAAAAACAAACAAAAAAAAAAAAAAGTAAAGGCAATACAATGGCGCCAAGATGGAGAGTGGCTTTTTTATAAATGGAAACAAACATCTAGACTTAATCACCTACCTGGCAAGTGCAAGGTTCTGAATTTGATTCCTGGTACTGAAAAGAAAAAAAAATCTAGATACAGGTCTTACGTCCTTCACAAGAAATTAGCTCAGAATGTCTCACAAACCTAAATTTACAATGCAAACCATAAATCTCCTAGAAGATAACATGGAAAATTTAGGTAACCTTAAGTTTGGCAATGACTTTTTAGCTAAAACACCAAATAATGACCCATGAAAGAAAGATATGATAACTGAGACTACATTAAAATAAAAAAATATTTGCTCTGTGAAACATACTTTTAAGAAAAGCCACAGATGGAAAAATATTCTCAAAAGACACCTCTGCTAAAGGGCTGTTATACAGAATATACAAAGAATTTTGAAAACCCAACAATTACAAAATGAATGACCAATCAAAAATTAGGCAAAGACATAAAAGAGGGTACACAGAGGGCAAGAATGCATATAAAAGATGGTCCTATATGTAATTACAGAACTTCAAATTAAAACTGAAAGACAGATCATGACACATCCAATAAAACAGCCAGGGTCCAGAGTCCCCAAGCCTCTAAGTGCCTCGAGTGTGCAGGCAACAGGAAGCATCACCCATAGCTGGGGATGCAAATAGAGTGGCCACTTTCAAGGCAGCCTGAGGTTCTCACAAAGCTAAATATCCTCTCAGTGTGTGATACAGCATTGTGCGCCTTTGTATTTACCCTAGGCCCACACAAACCCAGAACACGGGTGTTTTCAGTCGCTTTATTCCCAATTGCTAGAACTTGGAAGGAGCTAAGATGTTTATCTTGGTCTGTTTAGACTACTGTAGCAAAATGCCACACTGGGCAGCTTATGAACACAAGAAATTTATTTCTTGCACTTCTGGATGCCAGAAAGTCCAAGCACTGGCATATAAGTTTCCAGTGGGGGTCCATTTACTGGTTCATAGAATGGCACCTTCTCATCGTGTCCTCACATGGTAGGGGAGACAAAGAGTCCTTCTCTTTTGTAAAATTGTGAATCCCATTATGAGATCTCCTTCATGACCTAGTCAACTCCCCAAAGCCCCACTTCCTATTACTATCCTCTTGAGGGTTCATATTTCAACATACGAATTGGGGTGGGGGCACCAACACTCAGACTATTACCATGTCCTTTGGTAGGTGAGTGGCTAAATACATAGTGATTTCCCCAGACAGTGGGATATTATTCAGCAACAATAAGCTATTAAGCGCCATGGATTGACACAGAAGAAACTGGAGTGCATATTAGTAAATGGAAGAAGCAATTCTGAGAAGGCTGCATGCTGTACGATAGACACCAGCTGTGTCACACTAGGAAAAGCAAACCTAGGGGGAAGTAAGAAGATCAGTGGGTACTGAGGGCTGTGGAAAGGAGGGAGGAACGGCACAGCGTGTGGGGAGTTCGCACTGTGGAGGATTTGATACAACACTGTGGTGCTGGAAACAGCACTGGTCCAAACCCCCATTCCATCAAGAGTAACCCAGAGGTCGTTTCATGAAGGGTCCAGGACTGTGATGAATGAACCTGAGAGTCAGGGACGCTGTGGGAGAGGGGCTCTGCACTTTTCTCCCAACTGTGCTGTGACCCTCATTAAGCCTCAGGGAAAGTGCTGGGTGCAGAGTGGGACTCAGGAGGCTGACCTCAGAGGCCACAGGATGGTCCGGGGTCCATGTGTAACCCTTTGGGTGGCCTCTTGTGTAGACAATGGATTCTCTGTGTCACCAGTGCTGTCCAGCTGCCTTTCACCACTGCCTTTGCCTCTCATCACCCATCACCATCCCAAGGGGCACAGTGCTTCAAGTCCCCATGGAGCAGACTACTGGTTCCCCAGCCCAGAGTTCTGACCTGTGAGTCTACTGTGTGGTCTGTGTTGTCTTTAATGTGCGTGTGTGCGTGTGTGCATGTGTGTGTGCATGCATGAGTGTGTGTGTGTGTGTGTGTGTGTGTGTGGTTCTGGGGATTGAACCAAGGCCTTCCCACTGAGCTACACCTCAGCCTTTTTATTTTTATTTTGAGATTAGGTCTTACTAAAATTATTAAATTGCCCAGGTAGGGCTTGAACTTTCAGTCCTCATGCCTCAGCCTCCCAAAGTGCTGGGATATACAGCTCATGCACAGAATAAAAATAGATGAGACTATAAATACCTAAAAGGAAGAATTCATCATTCAATCTTTATGCTCTATGGAAATTACTTGATAAATATTCAACAAGATTAATTTCTTGCTCAGGGTCTTAGAGACGTAAGATTTTAAACCTAAGTTCCTTAAAAAAATTTTTTTTTATATGACAAGGTAAATGGCAGAGTGTGACAGTCAGCTCAGAAAGGATTTAACACCCCTTGGAAGTCTGGACACAGGGTTTCTGACCCTGGGTTAGCAAGGGGTCCCCAGAGCCCATCATGGAGGAACTTGCAGAGGATGTGGGGCAGGGCCTCCAGCTCTGTAGCCTCAAGGCAGTGGAGCAGCACAGTATGTGAGGTGTTTTGCAAAGCATTTTAAATTCAGGGTCTTAGAGACGTAAGATTTTAAACCTAAGTTCCTTAAAAAAATTTTTTTTATATGACAAGGTAAATGGCAGAGTGTGACAGTCAGCTCAGAAAGGATTTAACACCCCTTGGAAGTCTGGACACAGGGTTTCTGACCCTGGGTTAGCAAGGGGTCCCCAGAGCCCATCATGGAGGAACTTGCAGAGGATGTGGGGCAGGGCCTCCAGCTCTGTAGCCTCAAGGCAGTGGAGCAGCACAGTATGTGAGGTGTTTTGCAAAGCATTTTAATTCCGTGCCTTTAAAGTGGACTTGGTACCTCACCCCGAAGAATCTGTGCACTTAAAGCTTGTTCAGATGACCCCAGAATCCAGCATGATGTAGGATGGGGACAGAAGTTGCCATCTGCCCTGAAAAGTCCCCTTCTGGCCCTTGACCAACCCCAGGATTGGCAGGAGCTCTTCTCAATAATTAATCTCCAATCCCTTGTCACAGAAGGAGAAACTAAGGCTGCACAGTTAGGAATGTGTCCCAGGTTAGCAGGGTAAGCAGCAGAGTGGGCCCACAGACTGGATCTGAGTGGAGGACCTGGGGCCGACCTGCTTCCCAGGCCCCTTTGCCTCCACATGGCACTGGGTATCATGGCTTTGCGGTTTGTGGTTGGTACTTTGGTGCTTTACTTGGGCAAAGCTTGTCCTGTTCCCTGCCCACCAATACCTGCTACCTGGGGATTTTGAACGTCAGCGCGGGCCAAGGCACGAGGACTGACACAATCTTAGCAATGTTTCATCTGGCCCCTTTCTCACCTTTTCTCCACATGTCCCAGGGGCTGGTAGGAAAGGAAGGGGTGTCGGTGGAGAGGGCTGCAGCCAGAGCCTCAGGCCGCCATTGGAACTGTCACATTCTAGGTATGTATTAGGAACTTATTTTTGGAAAATAAGTTAAAACCACTATTAAACAATTCAGTCTGTTGACTGCAAGAAGATATTAGGTGTTGGAAATTTCTACCAGGTGGGTTGTAGTGATTGTTGCATAGAATTTAAAAAAGATTAAAAATCATTTAATTAAAGCTTACAACAGAAAAATGTTATGATAACTAAATTATGTCTCAGTAAAGGTGTTAAGCATTAAAATATAATCAAATATAAGTTTAAAGGATACATAAGCTGTATCTAAAATACATATTTTTTACAATACTTAGCTATTTTTGGTTTGTTTTTCTTTCTCCATAATGAGGACATAAAATGTTAGGAAAATTACACATGATAGTTTAAAAATCAGTTTTTAAGGGAGCCAGGTGAAAGGGAAGGGCTGTGCGGCAGGTACAGGTATGGCCTGGAGAAGGAATACCTTTCTGTGGCCAAAGAAGAGCAAGGCACTGGTGTCGGGTTTTTCTTCAACAGGACCCACAGCTTTGGGAGCTGCTGGGTCACGTGACTGAGGACAGCATAGCTCTACCTGGAGAATTGCGACTTTGGCAGATCTTCACTTTTTTAACATCTTGAAACTGTGCTAATTGTCTCAGATTTTATTAAAATGCTGAGCTATATCCATTTTTTATTTTATTTTATTTTTTCAGTTTTAATTGAGTATAAAATGGAATATTACTCAGCCATAAAGAATGAGAAAATAGATTCATTCATACAGGAAAATGGATACATATTGAGGATATACTCCTAAGTGAAATAAATAAGTCACACATGTGTAAATACCGAATAGTTTCTCTGGTGTGAATAAACTATATCCATTTTTAAACAAGCACATATGCTGCGTGTCTGGAGCAAAAGCTTCATACCTGGTTTAGGGACTTAGAAATTTCTGCCTTGTGCACAGCACATCTACATTAGTCAGGCAAGGAGCTGAAAAGGTGTCTTTGACAGTGAAATGCACAAAGGAAATGCAAGGACCTCTGGACACCAATGCACAGTGAGTGGGCACTCTGGGCACCCCAAAAGAAAGATGGAATGGGAGACCCACAAACACAGCTGTCACATGGACATCCCCAGGCCCTCTGGACTTTTCAGGACTAATTAACAAATTGCTTCTTTTCATAACTGCACAACATGTCCAGTCAGCCAGTCACCCAGAGTCATAACCAGAAACCGTAACTGTGTCCTAAGGGAGGCTCCCGGGACAGGAAAAGAGAGAAGGGAGAGAGCACTGCCGGCTGCTTCAGTAGTAACTGGACTCCCTGCTCCTCCCCCTTCCTCAATTCAAGCACATTCAAATGTGTTGTTGCCCTTGCTCATCTGGAAATGGGAGCAACAGGAAGGACACTGCCCTCCATGTGGTGGGCACAACCTTGGATTGAACCAAGTGTGTCTAGAAAATATGTGGACAACATCACATTGGTATGGACCATGCACAGATCTTTTTCTTGTCCCTACTTCCTAAACAAGGCAGCATAACAGCTATTTACAAGACCCTGGTGTTCCATCAGGACTCACGGGAAGGTGATGGGATGCATGCAGCAGATGTGTGCAGCAGTATCACAGCCACACCCACTGTGGAGAGCTGGGGTGTGCACTTCCATGTCATATCATGTCCTCCCCTCCTCCTCAGCACTCTGTACACTTTTAGGTGATGTTCAGATTCTAGATATTCTCTCTGCTTCTTTGTCCAGTCATTACCTTCTGTCTAAGCGAGGCCTGAAGGAAGGGTTCAGGTTGCCTGTTGCAGGGAGTCTCCCTGCCCATGGCCCTCAGGCAACAGATGGGACACTAGTGTCCAAGCCCTCAGCCTGACAGCTCAAGCTGGTCCTGTGGTCAGTCACTCTGTTAGGCTCTGCAAACCATTTCCTAAATGGTTCTGGCTTGCAAAGTGTGGGCAAGTGCTGCAGTTGAACAAAGACACTGATGGTGACAGAGTCCCCACCTACTCTGTGCTCCCCAGCCTGGGATCCTGTGTTCTCTGCAGTTGGCAGGTTTGACATTGGTGGGGACAACAGCCCTGTGTATTGCTGGGCCCCGAGTGTCACCAGCCTGTGGTTCTAATGGGAGTGGGGGGCCAAGTGGGAGGAGCTGAGTCCTTGGAGACAGGGCCAACCTTGCAGGGGACTTGGGACCCGGCCCCTCCTCTGCTTCTCAGCAGCCATAGGTGTGCATTTTCCTTGGCCTTGAGCTTCCTGCCATGATTCCCTGCCTCACCACAGGCCCCAAAGCACCAGAGCACTGGCAACAGAAACCTAAACTGGGAACTGAAATAACCCTCTCCACCTGAAAGTTGACCATCACGGGTATCTGTCACAGTGAGAGAACATCTCTTTCACTTTTGCTTTAGAAGCAGCTGTGAAAGCCCCACAGGCCTGAGGGTGGCCAAGTGACACAATGTCCTCAAGACTCTTCCCCACACGGTCCTTACCCACTTCCCTTGTTCTTACCTTTCCTGCTCTGCTAAGAAATGTCCCTGCTGCTGTCAATAACCCCACCTCCTTCCTGATGTAAGACTTGGAAGGGATCCCACTACCTTGGCATCATGACTCTTGGCAGTTCTTGAATTTCTCTCCTCACCAATAGTGACTGGGGTTGGAATATCCCATCTGCTTGAGGGTGCACATCAGAAAGGCAGGTTAAGGTTGCAGGTGATGACAGGGGCAAGCTGTTCCCACAGCACAAGGCTGGTCCTTGCCTCCCTCTCTGCCAAGATAGACTCCATTCCCTCGATTTGCCATTTTGGAACCAATGTGTTCTTCTGGAGTGCAAGTTAAAATCCAGCATCACAGGCACCAGTGGGTTACCTGAGACAAAGTAAAGGCTAAGGAGAAAGAGCCATCTAGCCCACCACCATACAGCAGAAAGGGAGCAAATTGTACTGGATGTAGACACAGATAGGTGGATGATAGAGAGAGAGAGAGAGAGAGAGAGAGAGAGAGAGAGAGAGAGATAGAGAGAAAATAGATGATAGAATAAATAGATACAATAGATTGGGTGGATAGATACAATATATACAATGGATAGACACATAGATAAGAGGGATGTAATGGGTAAATAGATGATACATGCAAACATACACTCATACATGTTATTCTAAACCTGCTCACTGAGATCACTGCACCTGCTGTTGTGAAAAAACAGTTCCAAAAGAACCACATGTTCCATGGCACCTATGAGGGATTTGCTCCCCTGTCCACGGTGGTGGTGGCCACCCTGGGAGCACACTGAGCACCCACAGGTGGTGGTCTGCTCCAGGATACCCCTAAGCATGGCCTCAGTGGGCCACTGTCAAGATGCAGAGCACCCTGCCCACCCCAGCAAACAAGTCCCTGGTGCTCCAATATGAGGCCAGTCTGGGGTGACTCCCCAGGGAGCCCTGGTGGCCCAGCATGCAGTTCTGCCTAGTTAGGGAGCAGAGTAAAACGTTGTTTGACTCATCCTCCAGATTTTCAACCACTGAAGCTCAAGTTTTAATTTTCATCTTGCCTTTTGCTTTTGCAGTGCTGTCAGATAAATGCCCCACCACTGAGTCACACATTGGCCTGAAGCTCAGGTTCTCAAATCCTGGAGGCGCACACATGTGATCCCGTTTTAAAACTGCTTGTGCCTCTGTTTGTATGGGAGGAGCCGGGGGACTGTCCTTGTGTCCATGCTTGCCAGTACCACAGATATGATGTCATCCTCCCCAGCTGTGATTCTAGCCACAAACTGTTGCCCATCTTGAGCCTACAACTAGAATTTTAAAACTGTTTGTGCCTCTGTTTGTATGGGAGGAGCCGGGGGACTGTCCTGTGTCCATGCTTGCCAGTACCACAGATACGATGTCATCCTCCCCAGCTGTGATTCTAGCCACAAACTGTTGCCCATCTTGAGCCTACAACTAGGTGCTGGTTGCAGCCTCTGTTCTACTTTCTGCTGTCCTTATCTGGAGCTTGTCCAGGCTGTCACTTGGCCTTCCTATCATCCAGTCATGATAATGGCTTGGAAAGAGTGGCTCATGGTACAGAGGGAGGTGGCAGCTCAACTGGAGCTACTTAGAAACCTGTTATGCTTCCACCTAAAATGCTCCACCTCCCCCCGTCTCATAGGTTCAGAGGTTGGGCTTCTGAAAGACACTCAGATTATTGGGTTGTAAACTCATCAATGGATCAATCCACCAATGAGTTCATAGCTGAACAGGCAATACAAGGTGAGGCCCAGTTGGATGAGGTGGGTTACCGAGGCTTGCCTTTGAAGAGCAAATCCTGTCCTTAGCCCTTCTCCCCAATTCTGGCTCTTCCTCTCAGTTTCCTGGCTGCCATGAGGTGAGCAATTTCCCTCCACCATGATGTTCCTGCCTTGGAGTCAGTTAACCATAGGCTAAACCCCTGAAACTGTGTATCAAAACTCTAGATGTTAGGTACTTGGTCCCAGTGATTTAAAAAAAAGCTGACCAATACAAAAAAAAAAATTTGTGCCAGGTGTGGGGTCATTGCTGTGACCATACCTAATCGTGCATTTCAGAAGCCTTTGGAACTGGTTCATGGGAGGAGTTTGGGGCAATTTGGAGAACTTAGCTAGAGAAAACCTAGAAAGCTTTAAGCTATTCCTCTCTTTTGGAATGGGAATGTTTACCCTGTACCCTTGTCTTTGAGATTATGAAACTTGTTTTCTAGTTTTACAAAGGTTCACAGCTAAGAGTTTGCCTTGAGTGTCAAAAGAGGCTTGAACTTGGATTTTTGAAAAATGTTGGAACTGTTGAAACTTTGGGGCAAAGGGTTAAGTTTCTGGTAGTTGGCAGGGTAGTTGTATTGTATTAGCCAGAATTACAAACTTACCCTATTGTCTGCATTGAAAATTGATTGTAGTTTAAGGAGATGTGTCTGGGTATGAAGCTGAGCAGGAGTGGGATGTGGTATTTCGGGTGTCATCTTGATTGGCATTGGGATCTGCACTGTGGATCGCTGGAGCACACTTCTAGGTGTGTTTGGGTGGGTCACAAAGGCCTGGCCTCGGGATCTGTGTGGTCCCTTGTCCCTTCATCTCTAACACTGATGCCTACTCTGCCTCCTGGCTGCCACGAACGAAGCATCTTTGCTTTGTCGCACATTTCAGCCATGCTGCTTCTGCCTTGGAGCCAGCTGACCATGGACCATGAATCCTCTGGAACTGTGAGCCAAATTAAACCTCTCTTCCTTTAAATTGTGGATTTTGTGTTGCACCAGTGGGAAAGCTGACAACTACACTGTGCCACTGTGTCTCTGAAATGTGCAATTTGCATTTTTATGTTTATAGGCACTCACATCTAAGAGTTGCATTGAGTTTCAGAAGAGACTCTGGTCTCGGACTTTTGAGAAACATTGGAACTGTTGACAGTTTAGCAACTCTTAGAGATAAATTGAGTACATTTTGCATAATAAGATGAACATGAGCCTTTGGGGACCTGGATTGAAATGTTGTGGCTTACATCTAAAATGTTCCCCCAAAATCTCAAATGTTTAGGGGTGGGACTTTTGGAAGGTAGTTAGATCATGAGGGCTGGCTTATCAGAGCCAGCATCTAACATAAGTTGGTTTATCCTAGGCTTCATTCAATCAGGTTGCTTAAAACTTCAGTTATTACATCAATGTTTAGTATATAGATGCAAATTACAAAGTACCTACTTCCTGAGTCAATGAAACTATAGCGTGAATTAAATTTTCCTGGACTGCTTGACAAGAAATAAATGACATGTAAATATCCTCCCTCTGCTCCAATGGCCCTGGGCTACCCCAGGGATGGGTCTAGGACTCCCTGCAGAGAGATCCGAATCCCTGGATGTTTAAGTACCTTGTGTAAAATGGCATGGTATTTGCATGTAAGTTATGTGCACCTTGATGTGTACTCTAAAGCTTCTCTAGAGTATTTAAAGTACCTTATATGTTGTAGATACTGTGTAAGCAGTTGTTGTATAGAAAGAATGATTTCAGTTTAGTTGGTTTTTCCTGAATATCTCATATCCTGGTTGGCTGAATCCACAGATGTGAAATCACCTAGCAGTGTGTCCATTTGTACCTATCCAGTTTATACATATGCCTTGCTCAGCACAGCTGAAAAAGACTAACACCCGCTTCCTTCTCTCCTGCCTGTTCTAGGCGGCAGAGCGTGCACACAGGAAGCAGTAGACACAGTCTATACCCACAGAGGGATCTGGCCGTGATTGATGAATTACACCTCCCAGCTGCTAAACCCAGTGGAAACTGCTCTTCCTGACCACGCCAACTCCCAGGAGACCCATGGACATCTGAGAGGATGATGCAGCCAGCCCACAGACAGTGGGAGCCCCCCAAGCGCTGAGGGGCTGCCCTGTAGCCCTCTCCATCCCTACCCTCAGGCTGCCCCATGATGGCCTGCAACAGCACCACCTTCCAGCCCTATGAGCACCTGCAGCTGAACGCAAGCAACGCCTCAGACTTGGGCTCCACACCACTGTCCGCCCCCCTCAGAATCTCCCTGGCTGTCCTGATGCTACTGATGATGGTGGTGGGCTTCCTGGGCAACACAGTGGTCTGTGTCATCGTGTACCAGAGGCCAGCCATGCGCTCTGCCATCAACCTGCTGCTAGCCACCCTGGCCTTCTGTGACATCATGCTGTCTCTGTGCTGCATGCCCTTCACTGCTGTCACCCTCATCACTGTCCACTGGCACTTCGGGGACCACTTCTGCCGGCTCTCAGCCACATTGTACTGGCTTTTTGTGCTGGAAGGCGTGGCCATCCTGGTGATCATCAGTGTGGACCGCTTCCTCATCATTGTCCAGCGCCAGGATAGGCTGACCCCACATAGGGCCAAGGGCATCATTGCTGTGTCCTGGGCGCTGTCCTTCTGTATTGCCATCCCCTCACTATGGGGCTGGACGGTGGTGGAGGTGCCAGCTCGTGCCCCACAGTGCGTGCTGGGCTACACTGAGCTCCCAGCCGACCGTGCCTACGTAGTGACACTGGTGGTGGCTGTGTTCTTCGTGCCCTTTGGTGTCATGCTCTGCTCCTACCTGTGCATCCTCAACACAGTGCGCAAGAATGCAGTACGAGTGCACAACCAGTCAGACAGCCTGGACCTGCGGCAGCTGACCCGGGCTGGCCTGAGGAGGCTGCAGCGGCAGCAGCAGGTCAGCTTGGACCTGAGCTTCAAGACCAAGGCCTTCACCACCATCCTCATCCTCTTTGTGGGCTTCTCACTCTGCTGGCTGCCACATTCCGTCTACAGCCTGCTGTCGGTGTTTAGCAGGAGCTTTTACTACAGCTCCTCCTTCTACACTGCCAGCGCCTGCATCCTGTGGCTCAGTTACCTCAAGTCAGCCTTCAACCCCATAGTCTACTGCTGGAGAATCAAGAAGTTCCGTGAGGCCTGCATTGAGCTGCTGCCACAGACCTTCCACATCCTCCCCAGAGTGCCTGAGCGGGTCCAGAGGCGGATCCAGCCGAGCACAGTCTATGTGTGCACCGAGAACCAGTCCGCTGTCTAAGGCGTGGGGCTTCCGGCAGCCTGAGTCTTCGTCTGTGTTTTGTGGTGCCTGTTTAAGCACAAAAGTACTCATGTATCACCTGATGGGCTGTGGTACCCAAGTTCCAAATTCTGGCAAGGTGAATTCATTATGTTTCTCATTGAAAAAGAACCATGGCAGGTCCGGTGAGAGCTGCAAGGTCATCAGACACATGGGGAGTGGACTTCAGAGAGCTAGGAAAGGGTGAAGGGGAGGCAGGCAGGGCAGGGTGCTGCTTGTGGTATCCACGGAGCCCCTCAGACCGCCGGTGCCAGGTTCTGACCCCAGACACCCACGGAGGCTCAGCCACATCCTGGGCTGTCGTTCATTCCATTTGCCACCAGCGTTCTTCTGAGTTACTTAGGGTTGAGGAGTCTGGAGTTTCACACAGGACTGATTACATTGGTCAGATGATCATTCCTGACAGTGCCAAATTACCTTTCCTAAAAAGGAATGGACTTCACACTAGGAAGCAGAGGTGTGAGCCCTGCGCTTGAGTCCCTGGAGTGTCTTGGAGCCCGGAGTGGCTCCACATGTGGAAGGTGCTCTGGGTTGCTTGGCTGCAACGAGAAGGCTTCTGGGTGCTCGTCTGGCCCCTCACCTGGCCATGCCCAACCCCCTGCCCTCTGCTGCCCCCGCCATCCTTCTCAGCATTCTAGACACCACACCCTGGGTTCACGCAAGAGCAAGTGCCCACAGTGACTTGCTCTGTTTACATGTTTCCTTACACACCCCGGGGATCTCCAGAGCCTTGAAGATGACCGAATCCATGCCAGCAAGGGAACCACTGCAGGGGCAGGACAGACAGAGCCCATGGGCTGGGCGGTGCCAGGTTCCCACGGTCGCTGCTTCTCCTACCTCACTCTCACGCCCACTGCTGCTTTGGGGCCCCATCGTAGGTCGGGATCTAGGAGCGCAGCTGCCCAGAGGGCACCTTTCTTGAGCCCTGCACAAAGCCGCACATTGCCACCACAAGCTTCTCATGCTGGGCGGTGACCCCATGAGCTCTCTGCCCAGTCAGATCTGAAGAGGGTGAGGCATTAAGGAGAAGCTCAGAGAAGCTGGCTCCAGGTCTGACCCCATCAGGGACTAGTTGGGTGCCCTTTGTTCTTTCCACCTCCTTTTTCTGGCTCTCAGATTTCCCATTTGCCAAGTAAGGAAGCCAGTCTAGATGACCTCAAACTCTGATTCTAATGTGGGTTTGTTTTGTTTTTTTTTTGTTTTGCCATCAGCAGACCCCTGCATTCATTTATCCATCCATGCAGCAAGCATGTATTAAGCACCTTCTTATGTAAGGCAATCTGGGGGTGAAGGAGGACTTGAGGCATGGGCCTAGCCCAGAGGCAGCATTGAGAAGTCCATCCAGCTCCCTACCTCTTTCTTTCCAGCTCCCCATCCTTTTTCTTTTTTTTTTTTTTTTTTTTTTTTTTTTTTTTTTAATACCAGAGATTAAACTCAGGACCTTGAGCTTGCAAGGCAGGCCCAGTGTCACTGAGCTAAATCCCCAGCCCTCCAGCTCCCCATTCTTACAGTTGTGGTGGTTGAGGTCTGGTGGTGGAGGCAAGGAGAGTGGAAGACAAAGAGAACATGATTTACCTTGCTCCCGACCCAGGCAAAGCTGTCAGGAAGTAACTGACACCTTCTTCTATAGCTGAGATGGAGGATGACTGAGGCCTGTCCCATAATTCTGCTCCCCAGGGGCACTGTCAAGAGCAGCATTTGCCTATAGTTCTTGGGGACTGGGTTCCAGCGCCCAGCAGTGCCAGGAGTGCAGCCAGGCCCCAGGGGACCACACCCAGGCACTTCCCCTTCTGTCAACATCAGAGATTTGCTTCAGAAATCACAAAACTGAATGAATGAAGGTACCAAAATTCACATCAATCCATGTCATGTGATGTACGTTGGACAGTATTATATATGTTTCAAAGTAATAATTTTGTATATATTTTAAATAAAGTATTATTGCTTTTTCGGTGTATAAGATCACATTCTTGCCAAAATTTATACCTAGTCCATGAAAAATCCAATGCCTAATATTTCTTTAATGGTTTGCTCAGGCTGCTATAGCAAATTGCTTTCGATCAGGTAAATTTCAAACAGCAGAAGGATATCTGTTACCATTCAGGATGCTTGGAAGGCCAAGGTCACAGCAAATGCAGGTGTGGTGCCCCAGGGAAGGGTCTGCTCCCAGGTTCACAGGTGGTGCTGCATTCACAGAAGGGGCTCCTCTGAGCTTTCTCGTGGCCCGGTCACCTCCCAAAGCCCCACCCCTTACTATGATGGCCTTGGGATTGGGTTGAGCTCATATATCACGGGGAAATGCTCTGCCATAGCTGTTCCTCAGACAAAATGACTTCAAGGATCCTAGATGCTATGAGTTACCAGCAAAGCCAGAAAGCCCAAAAGATGTCACAATGCAGGGACAACTGGAGACCAAGTGCAGGGTCATGACAAGGGACCACATTTTATCATGGTCTGCTATGGAACTTGAGTGGTAAGCTGGTCAGTCTTCATGCCTGCCCACTGCCTCGGTGCCTTCTGTGCTGCACCTTCATGGCTTGGGCTTTCTGAGATGCTGGCTGTTGCAAGTTCCAGAGTGAGCATGTCCCCAGTCACCTGGTGCTTCTGCCCAGGGTTTACCCAAACCCTGGAATCTGAGTGAAGTCAGGGGCCTCACACCCAGCTTGTTTGTCCCTGTGGGGGCTAGGAGGCAGGTAGAGAACAGAAAGCTGCCAACATGGTGACATCCTGTTCTGCACACAGGCACTCAGGTTCAGACACAAATGGTTGCATACTAGAGGGCTCTGGAATGGATCCTTGGCAGATAATTTAATCTGCAGGAGCTTGGACCATTAAAGTGGTGTGGTCTTTGCAGAACTCAGGCCCATCCTCTTGGACACTTAAAATCATCTCCTATTGGACACTTAACATCAACTTAGAGCTAAAATAGCATAACTGTGGTCCAAACAGCTGTCACTCTGCAGGATAGTGGACAACAGAGCCTGGACACATTCCGTACAAAGAGAATGATTCTCAAATACAGTGTCTCCCATCCCTGCTTGGCGGCATCTGCAGATTTGGAACCTGAGGGAGGACAAAAAGGGCTGATGGTAACTCTTAGAGGTGTTGCACTAATTCCAACAACCTCCTGAAACCTGCCACCTTTTTCTCTTGAAGCATGGTCTCTATTGTTAGGACAAAATAAAAGCAAAGTTTTCCTGCTGTGTTCTGAAAACTAAGACCAGTAGGGGACGTCTAGGTGGATTCCTAACTGCTGTTCTGAGCCCTGGTGGCTCTCCATGCTCACAGCTGGAAATGCTCACTGATTGGGGCAGGAACCCTCTATACAGAGTGCGTCCTCTCACCCTACACCTTCGGAGAGCCCAGGGGTCAGGCTCAAAATCTTCTGCAAACTCAGTGCTCTAGAATGGCTGCCTTATTCTCTCTCGTAGGGCAGTGCTGCACCTACTACCCACCTTCCTCTCTCTTCAAACAGTATAGTCCTCCCAGCCGGAGTGGCAAGGGAAGAATAAGCTGTGGGCCAGGGTGTGGCTCAGCGGTGAGCACTTGCTTAGCATGCAGGAGGCCCTAGGTTCCATCCCCAGCACTGCAAAAAATTAAATAACATACAATCTCCTTTTGAAAGCCTGCATCATCTGTTGGGGGGCTAGCTCAGAGATACAGCACTTGCCTCGCCTATGTAAAGTGCTGGGTTCTGACCCTAGCTCCACCATACATACAAGAAGTGAAATAATGTATGTGCAAGATTGCACCCAAGGCTAGGCCCCCAGCAGTTGCCTCAGTTTCAAGGCAGTGATTACCACATTTGTATCACTCACCAGCATCATGGCCAGGGTTTGTCTTCTCTGGGTGAGGGTGGAATTTGGAGTTTAATTTACTAGAAGAGCACCGAGAACTTGGAGGAGCACTTTACTCACATGGACCTATTTATTAGAAAGGACATTACTAGGACTACCGGTGAGCAGCCCAAGGAGACGGGCTGGGAGAGATGTGAAGAAAGGACCACTGTGCTTCTGGGCCTCTCTGGGGCTCACCCTACTGAACCTTGCCTGTTCAACTACCTGGAAGCCACTGAGACCAATCCTTTAAGAGCTGTGGAGGCTTTGCTACATAGGCATGATGTGGATTACTTCACTGGCTTTTGGTGATCAGCTTGATCGTTAACTCTTCTCCCCTCTCCAGAGGCTGGAGTGGAGCTGAAAGTTGCCATCTTGAAGCTATCTAGAGACTCATCTACCAGCCCCCCTGCCATGGCGCACAAGAGGTGCTCTTACTGTTCTAGAGAGTCCCTGTGTTTCAGGAGGTGCGTTCTGGGAACAAGGGCAGAGACAACTATGTATTGATGAGGTCAAAGTACCACAGTTGCTCTCCTCATCCTCATTTGGTGCTCATTCTCAGGCTGCAGCTGATTGGACTGAGGCTAAGAGCAAGGACAGGACTCTATGGGGCAGACTGTGCTCGCTGGCTCTGCGGTGCCCCACTCCACCCATCATCTGCTGGTTGGTGCTGCTCATGACAATGCAGAGAGGAGCTGGTGCACCCATGTGTGATCCCCACCTGGCCAGAAGAAGGAACCACACATACAGACTGCTCTCCTGTGGGCATACTAGGTCACAGCATCTCTGAAGCCGGGAGGCAGGAAAGAGTGCAGCATCACTTGAGTGAATGAGAGTCAACACAAAGGTAACTGGACAGACAGACACTAGAATCCTAGGGCACCCACGTGGGTGCTTTGCTCTACATGGCTTTCAGGATTTGCGCTCCTTCTATCTCATTTGGTCTCAGCCGCTTCTGTGATCCAGTTCATGAAGGAGGACAGGTACAGAGGAGCAGGTCCTGCAAGGCAACCCTGAAAGATCTGAGTCAGTGATGGTCATATGACCATGCCAAGCTGCAAAGGAGGCTGGGAGATGGGGGTCTTTAGTGTGCCCAGCCATAGTCAGCTCATGCCAAAGAGAAGGACTCAGAACTCGATGGATCTCTGCAGTGTGCCAGTGCCTCTCATGTTTGAAAAACAAATAAAAACAGAGATCCTAGAACACATGGGAATTCTGCAGTCTTATGTACAAATTTCTTAAATGAGCCTTCACCAATGGTAGCAAATATCTAGACTGCATCAGCCAAAGATGGCTGCCTCTGTTTACTTCCATCCCCCACAGATAAGTCTTATATCCAAAAGCAAAATGTGCATGCATCCATGCCTGTGTAAGAGAAAAACTGCCACGTTAAACCCTCCAGACCCCAAAGATGGAAGACATAAATGCTAAACTCTAAAAATTTGCAGCCAGAATAGGATGAACTTTGCCAAGACAAGAAAAAAAAAAGACTATTTAAAACAACAAGCAACACTTCTGAGATCAAATCTGCCTGCAGACTTGATTATGGTAAGGAGAACAATTTCAAAGCCTGGCTGTGGAATGGTAGAGAGGTTGCCCACAGCAGTGTGGAGCAGGGTATGGATTAATTTGGTAACTTAACTCTGGAAGGAAGGAAGGACTTGGGGACACTGGCCGGGAGGCTGGCATCTGGATCCTGTAGGAAGGAAAGGAAGTTTGCATGCAAAGCCTTGGGGTGTGCTGTGCTCCGGGCAGCCATCCAAGGTTGCTTTAGCAGAGTCAAACTCTCTCTGCTCTCTGTGCTTCGTCCTGGAGGATACAGAACAAGGTGTTCTGGGAGCACAGTGGAGGTGACAGAGAGCACCACGGTGGCAGCAGAGAACATGGGCAGTGGCTGTGAGCATGGGTTTCCCTCATCAGTCTGATGGGAACAGAAAGAGTTTATCTGCCAGCCAGAAGGGCTTATGCTTCAGAACTTGACCTTGCACATTTGCAAATCTGAGGCCTGATGTGCAGGCTCTGCAGAGGCCCACAGGTAAATGCCAGCATCCCTGCAGTCCCATTAATAACAAACCACTTGCCTTGGATCTTTGAGTCCTGTTGAGCTTCAGGCTGCAGCCTCTGGTGGCTGCTGTCTCTTTGCCAGTCACTCGAGTGTAGGAAATAATGGCCATGCTCATTTGGCATTTTTTGAGTGAAAGGCTTGCTGTTCCTTATGCATGGCCCTTCAGGGAATATGTTTCTCATTTCCTCCCTCATTGAAATGCTACTGCCCTTTGTCCTGAGGTTCAGGGATGCGTAGTGGCATCAGGAAGCCTCGGGATGCCGTATGAGGGGTGCCAACTCCCCAGGAAACACAGACAAGATGGAACACTTTCAAAAATCCAGAAGCAACAGTGGAGAGATAATTTGCTGCCGTGAGTGAATGCAAATAAGAGAGAAGTGTTATCTGAAACCTGAGGCTCTCTCTTTCTCCCCAGGGCCTCCAACTGTCTCTGGGTTTTGATGGGCCTGCGCTACTAGCAAGCGTTTTCCCTGCACAGAGACCTAGGGCC